TTGTCCATCACATCCGTGAACTTCTTTCTCTCCGCCGGCCTGAGTGCAGGAGTCTAACTCATTCGATGTTTGAAACACATGTGAGCCCAGGATTGCTATAATATCGGCAAGCCACGAAAGAAGTTGCAGCTTCCGCATCTGAATATGCATGTGAACCACAGAAAGAATATCCGTCATGTGCACGGCAAGCCTCTCCACACGAAAGCCTGCAGTGTTTAGCTGCTGGGATTGAAGAAGAAAAACAGATGCAAGCATGCGACAGACAGACAGACACACACACACACAGATGCGTGCATGCACTTTATATGGGTCTAGTCGCTCAGCTCCTCGGGGACGTGAACAAGAAGCTGCTGCACCAAGTCGATGGAAGAAACAAGGCCGTTGAACATGTCTCCCTCTTCTTCGATCGTGAACTTTTCCAAAAGTTTTGGAACCGGAAGATTCTCATGAGGTGCCACGAAAAACTTGCCCACCGGAGGAAACTTAGCAGGCCATGCAAAGCTACCCGAATCATCTACGTTCGAGAAAGCCGGCACTGCCACTGACAAGACCCCAGCCCAAAAAGACAAGAACTCCGCAACCTCCTGCCATACGGTCAGCTCCTGCATGTGCCCAATGCAGTGTGCCAAATCGACCAAGCCCTTCCGAGCAAGGGCTCGCACATCCTCCAGCTCCAGATTGCACATGACGAAAACACTGGCCGCCAAGCCACGGCAGAATCTCTTGGAGACGAGTGCATTGTCTTGGCCCTCCATCGCTAAAACCTTTCTATAAGGCTGATTCTGCAAAGCACTGCGAGTCTGCCTGCATTCTCGATCATGCATTACAGCTTGCCCTTGCAACATGACTTGGAACGGAGCTTGATGCCTGCGGCTGCCGGCACTCTGTGCAGCACAACTCGAAATGCCAGCTCCAGACTAACTGCAAGAAAAACAGCCTGCCTCTGGCCAGTGTGCATGGTAAAAGCCTTGCATGCATGGAGCCTACGGGATTGGCAGACAGTGCCAATCAGATCCCTCTTTTGCCCTCACTCGCAAGCGTGCCGTGCATCCGGGACGGCAATCACAGCCACACCGTGCCGAAGAAGTGAGGCTTCGGCATCAACGATACTTGATGGCTCTATGATGCAGGCACCTTAATGAATAGTACTAACAATAAAGATGATGAAAATAATAAAAAGAAGAAGAACAGGTGGCCATCCATTGAAGCATGTGCTGAGCAAACTTCGTACTCAGCTTTGCTCCACTGCAATGACAGAAATGCAGACTGCTGATTTCAGACTGCTGATTTGCTGATTTCAGACTGCTGATTTCAGACTGCTGATCTCAGAATGGCAGATTTTCGGTGCAGTCATGTTGTTTTCGCTCTTTTAGAGCCGAGGTAGGTGAGTCTCGTTTGCAGAGGTATCATCCACAAAATCAACCGACCGTCTGGTGACATAGCCCGTTGGGAGCTTTCATGTGTCCAGATCTGATCCAAATAAAGATCGAACCACTTCTCCAACCGCATAGCACTTGTCATGGACTCTTCTGGCCCTGACTCAGCCATCCGGACCACAGCACCCAAAGGCTGTTGCAGAAAAGTCAGTTTGGTCCTGATACTGATGCTATCCGACGGTGCAGAATCATCAAACACATAGGCTGTGAATGACTCGATGCAATATTTTCCCTGCAAAGTCATCCAATCCCATTTTTTATCTTTCGCGCTTTGGCTCAAAACATCGTCACGCAGACCAGAAAAGTCCAAGCACACGAGACCATGTTCTTGGAGGCAGTCTTCATCAATGGGGTGCTCATCCAGGAGTAACTTGAACATACGAAAAGACATCTGAACCACTGTCAAATGCTTTGGATCTTTGCCTGGAACTTCGACAGCCACTTGGTCGATCGCAGCGACAAAACTAGGTCCCTCTGTCGACAACCAAAGCAAGTCCAAAAGCACAGCCTGTCTCCTCAACTTGCGCAACTTCTCCACGATCTTCCGCTGCACGCTTAAACTCTGCTGAGGATACATTTTGTTCTTCTCAACCATTTCCTTGAGAGAAGCATCAATTTCAAGCAAACTTGCGATCTGCTCCCCAATGCCGTTATATCTTGCTTGCCTTACCGATGGATTCAATCGAATAACAAAACACTGGCATATTTTCACAGTACCCTAAGCCATTAAAACAATAAAGGTTGGCCTCAGGTTACAGTGGTCTGCTGTCAGAATGGAAACAAAACAAAATAACATCTCTGCCGAACTAGGACCAGTCTCCTCACACCGGAGTCTCCACAGAAGGAAGCAGAAAAAAGCGGCCATGGTTCCACAGTGATCATGTCAATCGCCATTTCCAGCGTGGCAACCAAAGCTGGCTCTGCAAATAAACTTGGCCTCTCACCATCATTTTCTTTCCGCACATCACTTCCTGGCCTGCCTTTATTAAACTCTTGTCTCTGGTGTGCTGCTGCCTTGGCATCCCAAGGTAACTTGGCACTCGACCCCGCAGATCCCTCATGCGTCCTTGCCTTTCCAGGTGGTTTCAGCATCTCAGGTCCGACTAGTTCAACTTTTTTCCCACGACATGGACAGTCCTCGTTATGGCGTCTTATCCACCTCACCGTCACATTCCACCTGTGAGTCTCGTTCAAATTGAGACTCTCCAGTCTCTCAATTTCATCCTTCATCTGTTGTTTCGCCTGCCCAACAAACAGGAGTCTGAGATTCTCTTGCTGCCCACCGCGTGTCAATTGAAACTCAGCATTTTGTTCCGCATGGGCAATCTCCTTCATGTCCAACCAAGCAGGCACTGCATGCTCGAACTGCGATTGAAACTTCCCAGCCATGATCAGCATGGAGCCAGGCGGCTGGTAAACAACCAAACACCACCTCGGCTTGTTGCCTCGTTTTTTAGCCTGCTTCGCTTGGATCAAAAGAAATGATCCCAGGACCATTGAAAGCGATGTGATCGGATCAATCTCATCATAATATTTGGACGCATCGGTGTGCATTGAAATGGCATGGTCGGTGGCATAAGAGTACCGGTTCATGAAGATGTTGAAACCTGGAAACAAAGAGACATTACAACCAACTAAACAGACAAAGAAAAAACGACGTGAGACTGCTGATTTCAGACAAAGCTGATTTCAGACTGCTCATCTCAGACTGCCAATCTCAGAATAACCAATCTCAGAAGAACCTCATCTCAGAGTAAACAAAAGCATAAGAAAAAAAAGATCACCTCGAATTCTCAGAGGCTAGACACTCTTGTTTTCCTTGTACCAGGACTCCTTCTTGAGCAACTTATCCACGACCCATCTCTGCATTGCCAATCCTTCCATGGTCGCTTCGCAAGGACGCACACTGCTGTCCTGGGTTTCCTTCCATTTTTCACCTCCAAACTTGACGGCACAATTGCAACCACGACCATTGACAGTGGTAGAGAGATAGTAATTTCCTGCCTTTTGTTTTCCACTAATCTCGACTGCCTTTGTCGGATTGCTTTTATTGACTTCACTCTCCTTCGCGATCTTCATATCATGGATATTTTGACAAAGCGATGGCAGCATTTCCAAACTCTGACAATCCCGAATCTGCCAGAGAGATGACTGCAAGCCACCGTTGCTTGTGTTCTCATCCATTTCATAATCCTTCAAGGCCTTCAGAAAAAGTTTCTGCAAAACATCGTTCAATGTGTCGTCCACATAGGCTGGACCGTGCGCTGCGGCCAGCATCTCGCAAAACCTCTCCGCATCCTCGCGGGAGAACGCACAGGCTGGCCACTTAGGAGTGGCAGGCATCATGGCTATGCTGATTTCAGACTGCTGATTTCAGACGAAGCTGATTTCAGACTGCTGATTTCAGACTAAGCTGACGAGAAAGAAAAGGTTGCTCTCTGACAAGTTGAGTTCCCATAATGCTGATTTCAGACTTGAAAGTCAACAAGCTGACCTGCAACAAAAGGTTGATCTCTGACAAGTTCATTTCCCATAACGCGGATTTGAGACGTGAAACTCATATTGAAAGAAACAAACATGTGACAAGCAAACATGACTTGCTTTGGAATTCAGTCCCATTGAGCTGGATGCTGGAGCCGATGGAGTCACGCACCCTGACCAACCACATCAGAGGTTCACAGAGAACTGAAACCAAGAGTCAAGTCTCCCTGTCTGCATTTTCCTGGTCACCTCTCGCGAAACACGCAGGCTAGGATCAATCCGGGAAGATACAAACGAGTCACCTGCATGATATCCAAGTAGACAAATAAGAACAAAACAATCTCCGACTACAGACCTGCAACCCAAAACAAACTAACAATGAAACAACCTTGTTTCCTTCATGACGAACAGGTGCCCCGCACTGCCAGCAGCAGATCTCAAACACGGCAACTCTCAGACTGCTGATTTCAGACTGCTGATTTCAGACAAAGCTGATTTCAGACTGCTGATTTCAGACTGCTGATGTGCAAAACATATACGAAACAAAACTCCCGACAGTCAGTTCTAAAAATCCCAATGAAAACTTATTGTCACACTAACTTATTGTCTGTCACTTATTGCCAGTGAGATCTGCAAACCATCGGCCACTCCGACCAAACTGGAGGCTGGCCCTCGTCGGCGTTATTAATCTGCCAGCTGTGATACCCTCCATTCAGCACATTTGAGTCTGTGCAACGGAAACACACCCTCTCTCTTGTCACGTCGGTGTGGTCCTCATTCCAAGTGCCCTCCCAGCAGAACCAATGACCGTCCTCAGGAAAGGTTGAAAAGAACTACAACTGATCAATTGCTAAAGTGAAGCTCACGGCTTCATTCAATACACATTCAAGGTCTCAGCTGACACACCCACCGAGGTCGCAACCGCTGTGGGTGCCAAAACCATTACTTTTCCATCTTCTCCTATCAAATAAACAACGAAAACTACATGCTTGAAACACTGCACATGTGACTTAACATGGCTCTTCCCAGGCCTGAGACAGTCCTCGTGTCACAGACCAACAGAGGCAGGCCACCTTCAGGCTTCCTGTATGCAAACTCATTGCCACCTCAGAGGGTCTATAGACACAGATGACATCCACGTTTCGGTCACATCACCTTCATGTCCAAAGAAGTAAAACTGGGACCTCGACTCCGAACTGCCTTCTCGTTGCCAATCAACAATCTGGCAGTCATGGGCACAGCCTGCAAATCATTTCAACCACAGGACGCATGAAAGCTGAAATACCTGGATCCCGCCTCAATGTTCGGATACGACGCTGACACCACAGCCACAACAGCCATCTCAACAATGAAGGCAGCAGGGAAACAACGAAATCTGTAAGCCCCAAACGCTGCCATCTCATTGAAATCAAATCAAGACACACGAAAAAAACACCTCAAATTCTCCGAGGCTAGACACTCTTGTTTTCCTTGTACCAGGACGAGAACGCACAGGCTGGCCACTCAGGAGTGGCAGGCATCATGGCTATGCTGATTTCAGACTGCTGATTTCAGACTGCTGATTTCAGACTTGCTTTGGAATTCAGTCCCATTGAGCTGGATGCTGGAGCCAATGGAGTCACGCACCCTGACCAACCACATCAGAGGTTCACAGAGAACTGAAACCAAGAGTCAAGTCTCCCTGTCTGCATTTTCCTGGTCACCTCTCGCGAAACACGCAGGCTAGGATCAATCCGGGAAGATACAAACGAGTCACCTGCATGATATCCAAGTAGACAAATAAGAACAAAACAATCTCCGACTACAGACCTGCAACCCAAAACAAACTAACAATGAAA